AAAAATGTAATAATAGAAAATCTACCATATAAAATGAACTGACTCTTAACAAATTATTTCATTATAATATTTTTTATTCTTATTAAAATTTCCAAATAATTAAAAAATATGATTTTTATAACTATTTTGACTATTTTACTATTTGACGTCACATTAATAAAATCTGATAACAGACCAAAACATTGCAATTATTCTAGATACTTGTTGAACTATTTTAAACTTGGTGAACAATATTTGTTTCAAATGTATAAAAATATTGAAATTTATACCGAAGAAGATTTAAAAAAATATGGACAAGCTATTCAAACTCATGGCGATGTTGTATTATTAATGATTCAAGATCTTCTGATAATTGATGGATATCATTTTCCTTATGATTTAATGACGGTAAATTTANATGGATATCATTTTCCTTATGATTTAATGACGGTAAATTTATATTTAAACAATAATTCTGGTTCGATAAATGTAATGTATAGATATGAGACAGGTAATAATATTGAATATAACAAAGTTTTTTTTGGTGTAAAAGGTTTAAGATTACAAAATTATTCTATGATGACCCAGTTAGAACGTTTTATTGATAATTATTGTTCTAATGTACTATTATCAGAATTTGTCAATTATCCTAATGAGGACATGTCTAGTCAATTAAATATTGATGAATTAGACTTTGTTACAAAATATCTAAAAGGAAAAATTATTAAAGAAATAATTCCCGAAATAGTTGAAATAAACAACATAACAAGATTTCACCCTGAAAATGTGTTATTTTATAATATAATGTTAAATCAGTCAGATAAAAATTTAATATATGGTACTGAATTAAGACAACATCAAGAATTTGTTAATGGTAAACCAAAAAATATTTTAGACCTTCTTCGATTTGTTCCTCTTGATTTACAGTGTGCTGACAAAACTAACTTGACTATACATGATGTATTTCGTTTTGTGAAGTATCAATATTCATTCATTGACATGAGAGTATTCCAAAAACTTTTAATTGGTGCAACTTTTCATCCTATCGGAATGCTTATAGCTAATTTCGTACATTTAGTATCTGAAATGATTAAAAATGATATAATCCTCCAAGATTACAAGTCTTTGCAATGTTTATGTAAACAAATTAAAGAGATTCTACAATCATTTATTAATTTAGACATTTTTATGGAACCCGCAAAAAATTTTCTTATATCTATTCTTAATCATTTATATGTAATTTTTTATTGGTTTTGTGGCACACGTCCTATAGAAAAANCATTTATATGTAATTTTATATTGGTTTCGTGGCACACGTCCAATAGAAAACGATTTACCAGATGTAATCATAAAAAAATTAAAAGATTTTATGGATAATATTATGATAAAGTTCAATATAGACTCAGAAACAAATGTTACGGAACAAAATCTAATGGAGATATATGGAATCATATTAGAAAATACTGATCAAGTTGATTTATATGTTAAAAAACTCGAAAACTATGCAGATTCATTTCATTTGATTTATGACATACAGGCAGTTCAAAGAATAAACATTAAAGACTTTAAATTCTTTCTAACACCAGATTTAATAGGTAAGTTTTAATATAGTAAATACAGTACGTTACATTCATTTTTGAACAATTGTTAGATTCTTAGTCTTTAATTTTAACATAAACAATCTTTTTTTATTGTAATATTTATATAAAATATATTTTTAAACATTTTAAAATATACATTTATTATATTACATTTTAAGAAAAAATATGATAATTAAATTTCTTATTGATGTTTTAGTAAAAATATCTTAAGTATATTAAAGTTTTTATTAAATTAAAAGCTTATAAACATTATCTTTTTTTGGTAAAAATTCAAGTTAGGGTTAAATATAGAAGAACAATATTACTTTTAAAATTTTTAAATACTCTTGATTAAAACATTGATAAGAATTTTTGGTATCAAATTTTTTCTTCACATTTATTGTACGAAATAGCTAATAGATTTTTAAAACATTTTATATTAATTTCTAAAATTTTATATCTTTACATAAATTTTAAATATATTATGAATATTAGACTACAATTTTTACAGTTTATCAGAAATTAAATTAACATAAATATTTACTTATATTTTTTACTAAAAATATTTTTATTTAAGTATTTTAAATAGTTCTTCAGTTAACATGAATATAAAAAACCTAGCACAGTGGAGTCATGAAATATGAAAAATTTTAATACTGAAAACTGCCATAACTTTTTGAAAAATAAATATAAAATAATAATTTTTTTTATATTAAAATCTTAGATGTTTTGCTTTCATTTGATAACATTTTTTGAAAATCTGACTCAAAACCTGCCCACTGGGGGGATTCAAAATAGCAATTTTTGCACACAAGTAAAGCTTTTTCAATTAAATTTTTGAAAATACTCCGGAATATTGACACTTTTATTTAATCTTAAATTAGAGCTTATATTTTGTACTTTACTATGAAAAAAGAAAATTCGCAATATAGATTCTTATATATATCTTCTTGGTAAAAATAGCTACATTATTCAAAAATATACTATTTTTGTGCTAAAATTCTAGGTTTTGTATTTTATTTTATTTTATAATACTTTACAAGGGGTAATAATACATTGACTTTCATAAATATTACATAATTGAATTGACATAAAATAAAGTTCATAAGACATAAGAAGTTAAACATATTTAACTTACTTTTTTCCTTTTTTAAAGTCGAAAATNAACATATTTAACTTATTTTTTTACTTTTTTAAAGTCGAAAATGAAACTTTAAATTTTAAATTAGCTTAAATTGTCAATTTTATTTAACAACGAAAGTTACTGAATCGGTACCACTTGTGTCTTTCACGGTTAGGGTTCGACGTTCAAATCCACCTGTGACAATTTATATTTTCATTTTTTTTGTGTTAGAAAAAATATGTTCACATCCTTTGATTTAAATTCAATAACTTCAATAAATATCAAGGATCGATCCCATCACTGTAGCCCCCCTCGTAAGAAGAAATTTCTTATTTATATTCATATATTTTACTATGCGTTTTTTTAGCTTCTATGCGAAGCTGAGAAGGTATTGGTTTTACTATGATGTGTTTTTTTTTTTTTTTTT